TTTAGCTTCCTTTCAAATTGTGGGATTTCCACAATTTTAATTATTTTCTTTTCAGTTGTATATTATGAGCAAAATACATAATACCTTAATATATTTCATTTATATAATTAGGAAATAGTTAATATTGAAATTAGCTTAATTTAACCTCTGAGATGTAGCAACTTGTTCAGGGAATTAATTAATTTGCTTCTAAAAAGTTTGTTTGTAAAGGAAAAATAGGCAGATCGTGGATTGTCTAGATCAGGGGTGTCGAACTCATGTCGTCATGTGATGTGTGATTTCCCCCCATTCATTAAATGGCATGGGCGTGGCCAGCAGGTGATGCATCTAGCCTGTGGGCCTCGAGTTTGGCAACTCTGTCTAGATCGATCGGGCTGGGAGAATTGATCTCATTCACTGTATGCCCTGGGATTTTGAGTTACCATATTAAACAGGAGATTTATCTGGGAGGTTTATCAAAACAAAAGTAGGGAACAGAATAGAGATTTTCTCACTATTTCAGCATTATTAATACTGTTTTCTTAGATCAGGGATGTTTTATTCCATGTGCAGGGATCTTTACTATTAGACTGATACTTTGTTTATTACTTCAAAGAGAGTCTAGTTGCTGCTCCTGCCTGCTAATTTGCATTCAAATTCTGCAGGCCAGCACTGAGATTGAAACAGCTGATTGCTGACTAGGGAAGGAAAAGCAAAAAGAAAGAAAGAAATCCACCCAGCAAATCTCATTGCAGTTCTATGCTGCAGCTGTATCCCACAATCCCTTTCACCATTTGCTGCAGTCTTTCAGCACAGATTGAGTGAGAAAGATGCACTAAATAAAAATTGATTGGCTGGAATCCTTTAGGGGTTTCCCACTTGGTTCTTGACCTGAAGAGGAGGAAAAGAGAGAGAAAGAGAAAGAGAGCTTGACTGGGCCTCCTTTTTTCATTAATTTTCTCCCTGGAATGGAGCATTGCTATCTGAAGCAGGAAATAGGCTGCATCTTCAATAATGATTACAGACATAGCAAATTTCTAACAGCTTTAAACGTGAGACTTTTAAACTCTAATATATTATTGTAATTATGATTGGCTCTTTTGGACGACTGCAAGAGACAACTGCATCCTGGAAAAGATTTCTTAACTTGGTATTGCATTGATTAAGCTCAGTTTTTCATGAAGATGGGTATGTCTTGAGCATTTATGGTTATTCAGCTAGCATGCTTCCCTCCCTCCCTCCCCCCTTATATATTCCTATTGTGTTTAAAAATAATACTGCATGGTTTATAGTTATGTGTTCTTTAAACAAAATATGGGCTATAGTGATTAAAAGCAATGTGGAAAAATATTTCTAGAAGGAAGAAACACCTGTGTCTGAAGATGCTTAGAACTGTTTTCTTAGAAATCATTTATATTTTACTCATGGGTTCATAATATTTCTGGAAAGAAAATCTATTGATTTGATAGGGGTTTTTTCCCCATCAAGTAATAGTAGTCAGAGTGGTACATTTGTGGAATTCTACCTGATTTTGAACCACTGTTCAAATTGTAAAAATCTTGTATTTGCCTAGACATTTGACAATTATATTGTAAATGTTGCTTCTGGAAACCTATTCATGCATAAATATGTGGCTTAGAACCCGAGTTTTGTGAATCATTGATCTGTATTGTTGGTTTAGTTTTCTCTCTGAAAGCTTAAAAGCAGCACTAGTTGGGCGGAGCCCAGCTTTTATTTGAAAATGCTGTGCAGTTTGAACAGGCAAAGCTATTATTTCTATGGGTTTTGTTTCACTTGGTAGAATAATCATTCTAACATATATAATACATTTTGCTGAAATTTATACATAATAATTACTTGGGTCTTCATTGTATCTCCTGTTCCAGATGGGTGTGGCACATCCACACAATTTCTTTCTTTGTCATTATTAACAAAACAATATTTATATAGGGATTCTTGCATCATAGTCACCAGCTTTTTATACATGTATTCTTTCTGTGTATTAAAGCTATTTTGATGAAGTATTCATTTAAAGCAAAAACATGATGTCGTTTTCTGAAGTGATTTTAATGCTAACATTAGATCCTTATCAAGAGATACATTGTTTTGAAGGCTGTACTCTAGAATTGGGTTAACAATTTTTTTTTATAATTTAACAGCTTTATTTAAGGATAGCTGGTATTTATACAAAATTGTAAAATTTCATTTTCTCTCTCCTTTTTAAATGTAAAAGGAGTTTGCTTGCAGTTTGTAAGAAACAGATTATTTTCAGAATTATTTATGATGTGATCGTACAATTGTTGGATATTCAAAAATTAAAAGTATAATACCCTAAATATAAAAGATTATGATCTTAAAGGTACACTTTTACAAAATATAAGCTCAGTAAGAAATCATTGTGGCATAAGGCTTTGGAACATGGAGATATGCATTATTTTTTCAAACACATCAATTATATTCAAGTCTTCCAAGTCACATCTCAAACTGTAGTTAAACCATTCAAAACAAACTATGATTTGATTCTAAAATGAAAGAATGCGTTAAATTTTACATATTAAGAAAGAAATAATTGTTTAAGGACATGGTTTATTCTTACAATCAGATTTGTAGGATTGGATGAATGCAGTTACAGTATTAGTCACTTAGTCATAACTGTAGTATAGTCCCATGGGTAAAAGTTATTTATTGATAACAGGCATGCTAGCAGGTAGCCCTTAATCAGTGACCATTCAAAGTTGTGACATCACTGAGTGGTACTTAGGACTAGTCCTCAAAGTTTCAGCCATCACTTCACCCTGATCATGTGATCACGATCACATTTAATTATGGTCATTATACCTGCCTTCTTCCCACAAGCAAAGTCAGTGGGGAAGTCAGTAAAGAAGGTAAAAATTCGCTCTAGTCTGCCCCCCTCATCCGGCAGTATCTGCCCCATTCCCAAAATCGTGCATGCCACTGCATTTGCGTCTCACCTAGCAGCACCCACTTACCTGCCTTCTAGCCTGCTTGAACAATCTGGGGATTAAACTTCCTGCCAGCTTCCTCGCTGACATGATTGCTGGAAGCCAGCCAGACATTGTGAGTGGGTCCTCAACTTAATGACCAGTGGACCTTGCTTAAGAATAGCATTGGGCACTGCTAGGACTACTGTTTGCTAAGTGATGCAGTCACATGGCATTGCACTTTACAGCCACATCATTTAGCGACGGAAGGTCCAATTACCATTAAGTGAGGACTGCTTGTAAACTTCTACTTGGAATAATACATAATAAAAGCTCATTCAGAAGGAATAAGATATCATATAAACCCAGAATTGAATTATTCGGTCAAAACTAGCACTGGTATATTTTAGTGTAGTTTCTTTGTATTCTTTATCAATGAACATTAAAGGAATGAGTATCTTAAGATATTTTTTTCCCAAAGGGAGTGCTTTCATAATGATTTCATGCAATCCTAAAACAAAAACTCCAAAAGCAAAAATTTCTAATTGCTCTGAGTTTTGTCTTAGACAAATACATTGGCTTTTTTTTAAAAAAAACTAACCAGTTTAATTGAAAAACACATGTGGGGTCTACTTTTAGAATATTCTGGGTCACCTGTTCTCGTGTTGCTCAACGTTCCTTTGCCATTGTTGGTGGATACTGAGTACTGGAGAATTGCTGGATTCATATATTTATCTAAGATAAAGAATACAAAGATGTATTTACCAGGTACTAAGCAACCTGTTCTATCAACCTGTTCTTTTTTAACAGTGTTCTTACACTAAAATTGTACTCGGCAGTGGTGTGGAACAATTCAGTCAAAGAATAAATATACAGCAAATTAAAAACAAAGCTGACAAATTGAGAAATAATCACTCACAAAAGGGCGATTGTGGCTAAGTTAAAACAATATAGGACATTGTATATTGTTTGAGCCTTATACTAGAAAAGTCTGGAATAGGACCCATTTAAAAAAGTTATGCTAAATGAAAAAACATTTAGAATATCAACAATTCCTCTTCCATTAAACATAATAACTTAGAACAAGTATATATATATATTTAGTACTAAGTTTATATTTCTGCATGTATGATTACTATTTGCAAGTATTAAAATTAAATCAATAAAATTAAACAACATTAAAAACCTGGATAAACAGATCTGATTTTTCCTAATTTCTCAGATGACTGCAAGCACATATGCCTAGAAAGAGCCTTCCATAGCTTTGGAAGCCACATCCTTCATTTGAAGGACTACCAAGGAAAACCAAGTGATTCTTTTGAGAGTAGCTGCTTTAAGAAGTTACTGGAAGGTGCTATATAAATCCTCTTGCTAGTTTTAGACACCGGCACAACTTCTTTATAGGGTTGTTGCTGATAGTTCCAGTAGTGGTATGCTACCAGTTCAGCCAACTGGTAGTAGCTGAGAGGAGGAAAAAAGCCTCTGAAAATCAGCTGAGAGGATAAAAGACTGAAAAACTCATGGGAGGGTGGGAGGGACTCTCCTAGCTTTTTGTTTCTTCATCTTCTCAGCTGATTGGCTTGTTAGATGCGCATGCGCTAGGGGCGCACAATTGCACATGTGCGATCACCCACCAAACCGATAGCGACTAAGGTAGCATCTAAAGTACTAGATAGTTCACATTATAGATGCTGATATTTGTATTTAAGTGAATGGGTTACCCTTTTATTCCGATATGTTATTTCATGTACTTTTTCTGGTACTGAGGCAATCTATATTTTGACTTTTTTAAAAACAAAATTTCTATATTTCTGGAGGGAAAATTGCTTAGGATCCCTTCTCTTTATGCAGGCTACTCTGAGATTGCTTTAATGTAATGCAGTGATTAGCAACTGCCCAGATTTTTGATAAACGAATAGTACAGTAGTGTGCTGCCTTATTTCTGAGGGCAAAAAAGAACAAATGTGCCCCACATTGCAGTAAATAATTACATTTAGTCAGGATAAAGAGGTTTATTGTCAGTGGGAGTTACATATTTCTTTAATTTTAAACACCTTGTCATTTTTTAAAACATTTCAGCAGTGTGCAGGGTGAAAAAGAGCAAGATCCATATGTCAATGGTCTAGGATGGCCAGTGAAGGCTCCAATATCCCAAGTCCTGTCGTGCGTCAGATTGACAAACAGTTTCTGATCTGCAGCATATGCTTGGACCGTTATAAGAATCCCAAAGTGCTCCCATGCCTGCATACTTTTTGTGAGAGGTAAGTGTTTTTTAGTGTCTAAGTCAATCCAGCCATTGAATCTGCCTGGATTGTCATGTCAATGACTTCCCAGGGGTTTAGGCTTACCTTTAATACAGTAATAATAAATGGTCGGTGCGGTAGAAAGGTTTTCCTAAAAGTACTAACAGTAATAATAAATAAAAGAATAAATGCTCCTTGGCTCTTTATCTTTTCCTTTTTGTTGCATTTTCATGATGCCATTTGTCCCTTGACCATAATCCGTTACTTGATGTGAAATAAACCATAATTAGTGAAATGAGACAATAGAAAACGACTATTCTATTCTATCTTGGAAGTCAGTTGCATTGATAGTAAAGTTTGTTTCAGATACTTAGAAATGAAGCCTTGGCAACTGTTCTTTGCTTAAAGCTTAGTTTATTGTCAGTGTTTCTTTATGTCCTTGGCAGTACTGCTGTTGTTTCTATGTTACATGGAAATGAATGGTGATTTTCCTGCATTAATTTCCATACAAATAAAAGCCACATCTAAATCATATCATACTGGGAATAATGTGAGAATATTGTAATTCTACCCGAAAGTAGAGCTAAATGTTTCCTAATCTTTGTGTTTCATCATCTACAAGGTTTGATTGCATTTGCTGTTTTTAAGCAATGAATACATGTCATATGTCCACAACATAATTTTTCTTCCTATAATACAGGGGTGTCAAACTCAAGGCCGGTGGTCGGGATTCGGCCTGCGGGATGCTTAGATCTGGCTTTCAGGGCCACCCTGGAAACAGCAAAGTGCCTCTGCCAGTGAAAATGGAGCTTGGGAGGGCCGTGCCCTTTTCACTGGCAGACGGTTGCAGGAGGCCGTCGCAGCTGAAAACAGAGTTCAGGAGCCCATTTTTGCTGGCAGAGTGCTCGGGCCACCTCCGGTGCCCCCGACACGAGTGACATTGAGCTGACCATACCCACTCCAGCCCCCAAGGTCAAACACAACCCTGATGCTGCCCTCAATGAAATAAAGTTTGACACCCTGCTATAATATTTAAAACAGTCTCTTCAATTTGCGTTGTATGATATGAAATCTGTTCAGCTTTAGCTGTATGCCTTTGGCTATCACAGGCAGATTTAGTTTGGCTTTACCTTTAGCTGAAAGCTGTACCTAGGTTGATTTTTACCTGTGGGGAGAGGATTTAAGCCTCTTTGTGACCCATTGTAGACTAGGAAGCAATGCAAAAAGGTGAATGTGCTTTAGGCTCTAAGGCAGCTTCTCTTAATCTGATGCTGTGCAGGTGGTTGGCATGCTGGCTGGAAGCTACAAGACATCTCAAAGGCATTTTGGAGTAAGGAGTATGTTCATGTTTTAAACATTATGCATGGTTATTAACAAATATTTATCACAGAAAATCACCAGAATATCATAAAATTTTAATACAAGTTCCTGTATATTGCAAGATATAGGAGACTTTACAGGGTTGCTATATTTTTAGGATGCTATGTGGTAAGTGCCTGTATTGACCTCTCTGATTTTGACTTTCTTTGGGATGAAGGAAATCTGAGTACATGAAAAATCATTTTCTTTGATTCCTTCAAAGACACATTCCTTCTGTCTCACCTTTTTAAAGGTCTGCAATATTTCATCACAGGTAATCCTCAGTTTATGACAGACCAGAATTTCCATCATAAGTCATTGAGGTTGTAAATCAAGTCAGACCCAGTTTTACAACACCTTTTACCATGATTGTTGAGTGAATCACTATGGTTTTTAAATGAGTCACAGAGGCATTAAGCAAACTCAGCTTGCCCAATGCACATTTTTGGCCACAAATTGGTTCAAATGACTCCACGTGCTGCAACAGGTCGTAAATCAGTTGTCAAAATCCTAATCTGTGATCATGTGACAATGAGGATGATGTGACTGATGGTCATACGTATGAGTATAGGTTATAGTTTTTACCCAAGCCTTTTGAACTTTGAACTATGGTTAAACAGTTGTAAGTTGAAGAATATCTGTGTCGTTGTCAGGAAAGTACAAATTTTAAATGCCGAAGAGTTTACCTCTTTTTGAGATTAATTAGAGAATTGGAGCATGAAGCAATACTAATTATTAACTTTTTTGTTATCCCCATTAGGTGTTTACAGAATTACATTCCAGCTCATAGCTTAACCCTTTCTTGCCCCGTGTGCCGCCAGACATCTATTCTTCCAGAGAAAGGGGTTTCTGCACTGCAAAACAATTTCTTCATCACCAACCTAATGGATGTCCTGCAGCGAACTCCAGACAGCAGTATTGAGGAGGCTGCCATCTTGGAGACTGTCACAGCTGTAGCTTCAGGGAAACCACTTTCCTGCCCTAATCATGAGGGAAATGTAAGTGGATTTGATTCCTGTGAGGTTTATTGTAGAAAAGAAATGGCATGAGTGGAACATTATTGCTTTATATGTATAATTGATTTTGGCAATATTTTATTTTCCATTGTGACCATATATTTGCATAGATAAAGGTATTAAATGATGTGAGTTGGAGGAATTGTGTGCATACCCAAGAGACTGTTATATTAATGCTTTCGGAATGTAGTCTTGAGTTTTCCTGACAGATATTCCTCATTAAGCTAGTGTTTCATTTAGCAACTGTTCACAGTTACAGAGATGAAAAAATAACTTTAAGACCAATCCTTGCATTTATGTCTGTTGTGGACCAGTAAAGCAAAGAAAAGCTGAAGGAAGATTGTAATCACTGTTGTAGTTTCACTTAATGAAAGCTTTGCTTAATGACCAAGTTACTGGTCCCAATTGTGACTTCTAAACCTATATATTTTTGTTTTATAAGTGCTTATTGAAAAATGCTAAGACATTAATGAAATGTTTTATTAATGTTCTTTCATTGCTCTTTAAATTAGTAATTATATAACTCAATTCATTTGCTTAAGCTTAGTGGATTAATTAAATTAAATGCTAACACTAATTAAATTCTATTGATTCCAAAGATGAATGACTTTCTTTATATCTTTGTTTCATAAATTGCTGTATTTATTGAAAGACAAAACCATCTCGATCTCTGGGAATACTTTCATACCTTTGGTCTGCATGATCATTGTTCATAATATATTTACAGAATTGTATAAATACATACACACACACAGAACTTCATTATATAACTGTTGCAATCAGGTATGGCAAAATAAATATTCTATTAAAAGATACAATTTCTTTCTCACTATATCTATATTGTAACGCTGTATCTAGCATTTCTGATAACATTAGTAAGAATAAAACAAATGCACATATAAAAAAGGGATTCTGGCTATAAGTGAATTGTCTGGACAGTTTGTTATTTTCATGGTTCCATTTAAGCTGTCAGACTGGTTTTACTGCAGATATACTAGCCAGCATAATATTGCATGCAAAATGTGCCAATGTAATATGAGCAATAAGGCATCCTTGCTGCACAAATTGGAACACATTGAAATTTTGGAAATCCTTGTAACTATAGCCAAGTGTTTCAGCCTTGGCAATGTCAAGACAGGAAGGCTTCAACTTCCAGTATTCCCTAACCAGCCACTGGCTGGGGAATTGGGGAGGTTAAAGTCTACTCATCTTAAAGGCTGAGAAGCACAGCTCTAGAGCTACTACAATGTACTTACATCCAATAACGAAAGAGGGGATTTCAGAGGTAAGAAACAGAACATTTCTTGTTTCTTTCACTATTCCAACCATTTCAGGCATCACTTTACCTTCTAGATCAGGGGGTATCAAACTTATATCATGGCGTCATCACATGACGTAGCAGAACTTTCCCCCCATTTGCTAAACCAGGCGTAGTCGTGGCCAGCATGTGATGCATCCAGCCCGAAGGCTGGGAGTTTGATGTAATTCATAATACTCTACATCTTTCCACCTATAAGTACCCTGATGTGATTTATTGGCAAACATGTTTTATACCATCACATGCCTTTATGCAAGTTGGAATTCTGTGTTGTTTGTTTTCTGGGAATAGGGACTAGATATTTGCAGCAGTAGTTTTTCATTTGCTAATAGTCCTGATGGAGTTAGTAGTGGTAGTAATACAAACATTCAAACTCAGCCCTCAGGAGGGAAGATTGCAGAGATTGGTTTGTACCATAGTATCTTTTTCTAACATATGTTTATCACCCTACCTCATTCTTTACCTGCCTCGACCCTGTGAATTTCGGTCATCGTCCCTATATAAAAAAGCGGGAGAGGACGGTTCTGCTAATTATAGACCAATAAGCCTCCTCAACACAATCAACAATCTTTACATGATATACCTACAATTCCAGGTCTGGCTCTAAGAATAAAACATATTTGTAGAGGAGCAAACTGGCTTTAGGGAGGGCCACTCTACCATTGACCAGTGCCCAGTACTCCCATAATTTCATTGAAAAATGAATAAATCCTGCAACTTTTGTGCCACTTTTGTTGACTTCAGAGCATTTGATTCCATATCCCAAGCTAAATTGTGGGACAAATGGAAGCAGCCTCAAATAATTTCTACCTCATTTAATATCTATGTTACATGAAAGGCTCCAATGTGCTTATATAAACCTCCTCAGTATCTACTACAGGTAGTCTTCAATTTACAGCCACAGTTGAGCCCAAATTTTCTGTTGTTTAGTGAAACATTTGTTAAATGAATTTTACCCCATTTTATGACTTTTCTTGCCACAGTTGTTAAGGGATGCTTTTGATAACCTGATTGTTAACCCGATTGTTAAGTGAATCTGGCTTCTCTATTGACTGTGCTTGTCAGAAGGTCTCAAAAGGTGATCACATGACCCTGGAACACAGCAAAGGTGATGAATATGAACCAGTTGCCTAGCATCTGAATTTTGATCACATGATTATGAGGATGCTGCAAAGGTTGTAACTATGAAAAGAGGTCATAAGTCACATTTTTCAGTGCTGTTGTAACTTTGAACGGTCACTAAACAAACTATTGTAAGTTAAGGACTATCTGTATATTCTTTAAACTTGGCAATTTGTTCATTTGATTAAGAATATGATTCTTAATATTTTAAAAATAAATTGCAGAACTGGTATGTTGCAAAGCATTGGTTCTTTGAACAGTTGGATTTGCTATAATTTTACTAACTGCAGCCCTTTGTGAGAGGATTGATTCAGCCATAGGGACCAGCAAGCTCCAAGATGTTACTTGTTTGTTGTAAACCATCTTAAGGATTAGTGTGTTGTCAGAATTGTTCCTCTCTGTGGCATTTAAAAGAAACAAAATATTAACAAAAACTTGTTCTCTGGGTAACATGCTTTTACGAAATCTTACAGCCCCTTTACTCCTTGTAGTTCTTTCTTTTTAAGGAGGTTAAACAGAAATACATCAATATGAAATATTGTAAGCATAATTTTGATAGGTGAAATACTTGCTTCTTTTTCTACTGAAGTGTGAGAAAATCTTGGCCGTACTAGCATTCCCGCTGGTGTATTATTTTAATCTGCCTGAGAAATGTGAGAGCTAATGCACGCATTCTGAATCTGATCAACTTTAAAACATCAACCTAAGCAACTTACATTACTTTGCATTAAACGTGTTTGTGCCAGAAATATGGGCCTCATTAAATGCAAAGCTGATACCATTCTGATTTGTATTGCAAAAGGTATCAGTAATGCTTCAGGAATTTACGAAGTAACTTAATACTCCTACAGCGCAAGATGCAGCAGTTTTATTTAAGGCTGAAGAATGGAGAAAATGAAGAGTAATTTGTTATGCTTTAAATAAAACACTCTTAAGGTTGTATTTGTATAAGTATGGGATAATTTTTAGTATTATTGGATGTTATTATGCATAACTATTTCTATAATTATTCTAACTATTGACTTCAAAGCATTTGATTCCATATCCCAAACTAAGTTGTGAGACAAACTGGAAGCAACCTCGATTGATTAACGTCTACCTCATTTAATAGTTATGCTACATGAAGAAAGGGCTATCAAAGAACATGCTGGCATGATAACATTAAACCTGATACAGTGTTGAATATCCAGTAAGGGAGAGAAACTGTGCTTGAAAGGGTAGCATGGAGAGCGCTTGCCTATAAAAATCTCCAAACATTGGACACAACTAAATGGTTAAAACAACATTTTTACATACTACTAAAACTCCTGTGTCTCTTCGTAATATTCAGTTGGGTGAAAGAAACAATGCATTCCTAGAGCAACATTTTTAATCAATGGACCTCAAATGACCTAACTGAAATAATCTGGGAGCCATGTCTCCCATGCGATTGAAATTTGGCAAAGCTAAGGCTGCTTCAATCAGCCATGGTTGTCTTTCCAAGGAATGAGGCAGTGGCAAACCACTTCTGTAAAATGTTGCCAAGAAATGTTGCCTAGATTTGTCCAGGCATGACAAACTTGAACACAGAAGAAAAAGGCCTCTTAATAGGGCACATAAAGGTATAGTGTGGAAAATGATTTAAAAAAGAAAATTTCATTTTCGGAAGCTTTGAGTACATAATATCTGAAAGACCTGAAAGAATACTCAATCCATAACATGATTAAACTCTCCCAGAAAATTCTTTACTTGCCCCAGAAGAAAAAGAGGAAATTACTTTGGATTTAACTAAACAGTCAGTAAAAATTAATGATCAAATTAAATGCTCCAAGCCTCGTGTAGCTTCCTTCATCCACTTTTACCTGTGGACATCAGACCTTTTCCTAATATTGCCCACTGTAACAGAAGGGAGAAATGATTACACACATGACGGATTTTATTTACATAAATTAATTGTAAATGGGATATTAAAACTAATTCAGTTTACTTTTTTCCAGGTCCCACTTTTTTGGAGTGTTCCTGTATGATGCATTCCTCAGAATTTGCTAGGGAAATATTGCATGTCTTTGGTTTAAAACAGCTTTGCATTGAAATGCATCACTCAAAGAATTAGAAATAATGTATTCAAACCTGAACATTTGACATTCTAATAAGAATACACGTTTCTTTATTTTTAATCAGCTGATGGAGTTTTACTGTCAGTCCTGTGAGACAGCCATGTGCCAGGAATGCACAGTAGGAGAACATGCAGAACATCCAACGGTCCCTCTTAAGGATGTAGTAGAACAACACAAGGCTTCTCTTCAAACACAGTTAGATGCTGTGAACAAAAGGTGAAACTATGAAAAAATTTCCTGGTTATAGAATTGCACTTTAGGGCAATTTTTTCCAGCTTGGAATCTTCCAGATGAGTAATGGTTATACTGTACTTTCCAGACCATGTGTCTGGGAATTCTAAAAGTTTGAGTCTCGTGTATGTAAGGAGCATCATATTGAACAACTTTTCTGAAATGCAAAAACAAAAAATTATTTATGACTGTTTGAAAATGTTGCATGTGTCTCTTTGGGAGAATGTACAGATAACTTTTACTTCCTGAGCTTTTACTTTCATGAAGATTTTGAATGTTGATAAAGTGCATGTTTTTTTAATGAAAAATATTTATCTGGATTTATTATACTTATTCTTTTTGTTTTATAGAATAGTCAATTAAATGCTTAGGAGATATTGGTAGTATTCATATAATGTTAAGCCAAGTTTTTTTTAAAAAAAATTTAAACAACTTTTGAATTCTTAGGGTTCTGTCATCTACCCAAATTTTTTAACTGTAGCATGGCACAAATTTAGTTGACTAAAGGGTTGTATCGAACTTCAGTGTCCGTATTCTAAAAATTAGTGGAAGAAGGCAGGACTTTATCCAGAAATAGTAATTTTTGCAGGTAGAAAAGTACAAAAAAGGACCAAACCTTTGATCCTATCTGTCAGAGTCCATATAAGAAAAAATGATAGGCAACTTTTTGGACTCCTAATTTAAAAGTTGGTGGCAAAAATGTCAAAGTTTCATAAACAAACCCGCATATTGTAAAATATATTGGCCAACTTTATAAGTAAATGTAGACCAGAAATTTTCAGGATTTTGGCTCATTGGGAATGAGCAGCATGCTCTTGTTTCCTGCATAGTTATTCCCTTTGGTTCCTGTTAGCAGGAGTAGTTAAACAAATCCAGATGGTTTGATATGGGAGGACAAACCAGATTTCTTAGTTCTTTGTAATGATACATCATAGGCAGGACTGTTTTGTTTCTGTTTAATGCCCATGCTGTCAGGGAGAGGCAAGTGGAATCAATTATATATTGAGCACAAACATACTTCTTGTTCTACACTAATTTAATGGAAATTTTAATTAATTGTAGCTTACAATTGCAAGTGAAATAATTCAAGATTCCTTTAGAATTGGCAATATTTGTATTGTCTGAAAATTATAATACTAACACAACTTTAAAAAAAAAAGATGTGTATATAAATTTGCATAGCCCTGAAGATCGCCGAGTCTGTGTGTGCCTCACATTTTGCTCTTAAGCTACAGCTTACTGAATGTTTACAGTTTATTGGGTTCATACAAGATACTACGGTATAATCAAATTCTGCCTTAGAAAGATTTGTAAATCCAGCTAATGCTTGTGTGCAGCTTTTAACATTGTAGAAAAGTCAGCATCCAATCTACATTTATATCTGTTTATTGATAACTATTATATATTATATATTATTATTATATATTAATTCATGCAAAAAGATGAAATGTTTCTCACAAGATAGAATGGGGAAGCAAATATCTAAAAGTCAAATCTGTAACTCAGATAGTACTCGACGTACTACTGCAATTGAGCCCCAAATTTATGTTGTTAAGTGAGACATTTGTTAAGTGAGTTTTGTTCCATGTTACATCCTTTCTTGCAACAGTTGTTAAATGAATCACTGCAGTTGATAAGTTAACACAACTGTTAAGACAATCTGGCTTCCGCATTGATTTTGCTTGTCAAAAAGTTGCAAAAGGTGATCACATAACTTTGGGACAAAGCAACAGTCATGACTATGAACCACTTGCCAAGCATCAGGGTTTTGATCACATGAGCATTGGGATGCTATGAAGATCGTATGTGTGAAAAATGGTCATAAGTCACCTTTTTTCAGTGCCATTGTAACTGAACAGTCACTAAACAAACTATTGTTAAGTCAAAGATTGCCTGAAGATTGCATTCAAACATAACATTAAACTATGGCTTGGCACTATGTGTGCAGGGTCATTATGAATATTATTCAAAGTTTAATAATTGTGTAATGATACATCTTATGAATGTTGAAGAGAAATTGTAGCATTGATATTTGAAATGTGAACTGCTTGTTTTTAATAGGCTTCCAGAGATAGATACTGCACTGCACTTCATATCTGAAATTATCCATCAACTGACCAACCAAAAGACCAGCATTGTAGATGAAATTCATTCCACTTTTGATGAACTCCAGAAGACATTAAATGTTCGCAAGAGTGTTTTGCTTATGGAACTGGAAGTAAATTATGGCCTTAAACATAAAGTAAGAGTTCTGTTCTCATCATTAAAATATTTCTCTGTTTCTAAGGACTGTATTATATCATTTGGAAAAATGACTGAAATTCATATTTTCTTTAATGAAGGAAACTTTTGGAAATAGCAAATGTGTCATAAAAATTGCCACTCCAGTGAAATTTGACTTTCTCAGTTCATTGTTATTATGTAAAAACTAGTGTCTTGTACAAATAAACAGCTTCAGAAACATTGCTCTAGTATTGGTTTAAAGGAAGCAGAAATTGGAGATGGCCTTAGATGAACATATTTTTTGTTGGATTTTCAGGATGTATGTGTGGCTGATAATTTTGAAAACCAAAAATTAAAGCATTTACACAAATGTATTGTGGCCTATTGGCTGCCGGCCCCTCCAACAGCCAAATCAGAGGAGGAGGCGTGGGAGTCAGGGTCAGAATCAGGCAACCTGGGAGTTCCGAGAGGGACGAGGGAATGGAGCTGGCAGAGAAAGGGAGAGAGAGAGAGACAGACAGGCAGAGGCGGATCCTGGGCCATCTGTCAGCCCTCAGATGGAGAGTTAACAGGCTTCCAGGTCTGGAGGTGGTTGATGAAGCTGGGTCTAGTGCCTGATGCGCGGCTGCTCCGAGGGAAGAGAAAAGGAGAGCAGTGGAAAGTCGTGGGCTGATCCTGGGCAAAGAAAAGCCACCGCCGCTAGCAAGGCCCCACCCTAGCTACTTTCTTTGATGTCCATTCCTCTCTGCTACTTAAATTTTAATTCTCTGGGGATAAAAGGCAGGGAGATGAATAGAAGTGGCAGGCAACTATTCATCTTCCAGCCGGCCGGACTTGTTAGTCTGCGAGAGAAACTTTTTGCCGGGGCTGCCAGCATTCCTAATAAAGGAATCTTTTGAGTTCACCTTATCATAGTTGGGGAGCTGAGTCAGAACAAAATGGTACCAATAGTTTATAATCGATTTCATTAGACACAGTGCATTATATCACAAAAAATAAAGCCCAAATGTGTTTTATAATTTGGAAGACAAAATGATAATAAATAAGCAATGGTTCTTGAATATTGGAAAAATATGCCTGTGCTTTCAATCCTTAACATGCATTAAAATTTAACAATATGTAACTAGACATTTTACCAGTATTGTAAAATTGTATTGCATTGTAGAGTCAAATCTTTCCTCTCCACTTAAAAAGGCGGTTAGTACATTTTGAAAGGATGCTAACAGGTATTTAAAAATATTTTCTTTGATGTCCATTCCTCTCTGCTATTTAAATTTTAATTCTTCTTGCTTGCATATGGAACTTCCAGTTGGATGTAGTATTCTGGCTAACTGCATACATTTTTAATTCAACATCTACTCAAATCATGGAATATAAAGAAATAGGTTCTTTGCATTGCTCAAAGGACTATGTTACAAATACGCAAAAATGCTATAAAACACATTGCACCAAAGAAGATGTAACTCTTAAAAGTAGTTTAAATGTGGCTTTTATGGCTTGTATATTATGGGCTGGAACCAGAGGTGGTATTCAGCAGGTTCTGACCAGTTCTGAAGAACCAGTAGTGGAACTTTTGTAGTTTGGAACAAATACCACCTCTGACTGGTCTCGCTCCCATTTATTCTCTGCCTCCTGAGTCCCAGCTGATCAGCTGGGTTATCTTTGGTTGCCCTGGTCAGGAGAATGGAGCTGGAAAGCAGGTTAGTGGGGTGGGGAAGGAATGGGGACTTTGCAGTATCCTTCCCCTGCCACTCCCGCCAAGTCACACCCATAGAAACAGTAGTAAAAAAAATTGGAATCCCACCACTGGCTGGAACTGACTTTTTCTGGGTTCAGACATAAAAGTAATTGTGACTATAAGGTAAAATTGGTCACGAATCTAAAAAAAAATTTCAAAGTGGATAAAAAGCATATGAATGCTGAGCAAATTTAATCAAAAGTTTCCAAATTGTTTGGTTGCTGTTTTGGGGGAACTCGTTTTTTAAACCCTGCTGCAACACAGACTTTTTGTGACAATGTTATTCAATATGTTTTTATATTGAGTCCAATATATATGGTGTGGTTTTTATCCAGTTTTGCACTATTAGATATTTCCATGAGATACTGAAACTTAATGATAGAAAAAGTGTTCCTTGTTTTATTACTTGGCACTTCAATGAAATAACCATAGTATTTGCTTTTATCAAGGTCTTGCAGAATCAGCTTGATACTTTGTTGGAGGGACAAGAAAATATTAAGAGCTGTAGCAATTTTACCGCCCAGGCACTCAGTCATGGAACTGAAACAGAAGTGTTACTTGTTAAAAAGCAGATGAGCGACAAGCTAAATGACCTGGCAGACCAGGAATTCCCTCTTCAGCCCCGTGAAAATGATCAACTGGATTTCATCGTAGAAACAGAAGGATTGAAAAAATCCATTCATAATCTTGGTACTATTTTAACCACAAATGCAGTGGCTTCTGAAACAGTGGCCACAGGTGAAGGACTTAAGCAGACTGTGATCGGGCAACCAATGTCAGTCACCATCACAACCAAGGACAAAGATGGTGAGCTCTGTAAAACCGGAAATGCTTGTCTCACAGCTGAGCTGAGCACACCTGATGGAAGTGTGGCAGATGGAGAGATACTTGATAATAAAAATGGCACTTACGAATTTTTGTACACTCTCCAGAAAGAAGGGGACTTTATTCTGTCTTTGAGACTGTACGATCAACATATTAAAGGCAGCCCATTCAAACTCAAAGTCATTAGGTCAGCAGATGTATCTCCTACTGCTGAAGGAGTTAAGAGACGTGTTAAGTCTCCTGGAAGCGGCCATGTGAAACAGAAGGCTGTAAAGAGACCAGCTAGTATGTACAGCACCGGCAAAAGGAAAGAGAATCCCATTGAAGATGATCTAATCTTCCGAGTAGGTAAGGAATGCCTCTGTTTTAAATTTTCATGGACTGCTGCTTATAGCTGCAAACATGTCCATAATATTATTTCATACTTGTAAGGACTTTGTCTTGCTAAAAGCATTTCCTTGCTGGTTGACCGTTGTAGTCTTTTCTCCTTTTATTGCCCTTGGGCTGTTCCACATAAGTGCTTTGGATCAGTTAATGATTAGTTGGATTGGTTAATGATTTTTTTTGTGATAAAATTTATTCCTGAGGTTAGATCAATGTATTTCAGATGTTGCTCAAATTTAGTGAACTTACAGCAAAGTTGGTATTTCTGTAAAATGGAGCAAAATTCACTTAAGAATGATGTCACTTGGCAAGGGAAATTTTGGGCTATCTTTTCTATTTTGTTTTGTTTTAGGTACCAAAGGGAGAAACAAAGGGGAATTTACAAATCTTCAGGGAGTAGCTGCATCTACAAATGGAAAAATATTAATTGCAGATAGCAATAATCAATGTGTACAGGTATAGTTTTTTTGTTCGTTTCTTCGTTAAAACTTTTTATTAAATGCACAGAACTCATAACATGCGTTAAAGAAATGTATATCTAAAGTACCAAAATTTAAGGGATCATGGTTGTTGATGCTGTGGAATTACTGGTAATAACTATGTTAAATTTGAAATATAGCTAAAGCTGGAGGTACACATTAAAATCTGCTGAATCCCAAGTGTAAATAGGCTAGTTCTGGCCCATATGTACAATTACAATATATGTCTACTGTTGATAGCCCTCAACTTATGACCGGTCACTTAGCAATTGTTCAAAGTTACGATAGACCCATCTAATTTACTATTTACGGCCGGGATTTGAAATTCTGATGCCCACCTGCATCACATGACCTTATTTAGGTACTCAACAGCCAGCCCACATTTACAGCCAGGTAATTGAAATGAATTACATTTTTGCCATTTTTGCTTTTTTTCGGGGGAAAATGGCCTTTAAAAAAAAAAGAATGGCCAACTTTGGAATATTTTGGAAAAGGAAAGCACAAATGTCTTAAGAATCTCTGGTGTTGGGGGTGTTGGCTCAAGGAAAATTGTTATCTATCCTCTGCTATATGACCTTATTCAGAATATATATTTTTCCCCTGCATGCAAATGTGTACTGTTATTATATGTTGTTTACCTTTTAAGCAAATGTTACTGATAGGGGAAAAACATAAACAAAGCTGTTCATGATAGGGATAAGTTATTGGTAGGGAAAAACGTGAACAAAGCTATGCATTTGAAATAATTTGAAATGCTATTTCCTTGCTTATTTATTCACATACTCAGCTCCCTATACTTTGGGATATTAATCCCATAGCAAAAGAATATAAGATGGAGAACAGGAGAATTTCCTGAAGTTTGGACATGGCACAATCCTCACTGATCTAAAACTTTTGTAGGCAATTCTTTTTTAGGTACATAATGATCATTTTATATCTAATCATATTACTTTAGTTCTGATGGCTCCCTTACCTGTCCATAAACTAGTTTTATATTGGCACTTGAATCCATCGCACTAAATCAGTGCATGCCAATTAATCCATAGGGCACTTCTGATGGCCACTTGTAGTTAATGCTATTTGCTGGTAGTTGTTTATAGTTCTGTCTTCTACTATAGCAGTGATCTTCTGTAGAAGATACCTTGGTTCACCAAGTAACTTCACAATTTTCCCTTCACTTATAGTTATAAATGTTTATATGTTATATAAGCATTTCAGTAGCTCTCTGTCACTTACTGAAAAACCAAAGGCTCAAATCTAGCATTTTCTAATACATAACTAATTTACACAATACTAGTATCTTCCAGCACATGACCTTATAATAATAAACAATATGTATATAATCGTCTAGGATTTTAGGGGGAGGGGAGGGTTGGATATAAATAGCCCAGTGCCATTGGTACCAGACTTGCTATTGCTCCTTGTTAGATTAACACAAGTTACTGCATGCCATTAACTTTTAATACAACCCACTCTTGGATAACTCATTGTGTTTCCGTCTAATCTACTTCATGGGTTGTTACCTTGAGCTGTGTAAAGGAAAGGTAGATACAGTGTAATAAATATAACTCTCAACAAAATATATTTGGGTGGCTTCTTGTTCCCTAATTCTCCCTCCTTCCCACCCACACATTTTTCGGCCTGTAGTGATCACTAAATATGCTCAATCTTGGTTAGGTTGTTTTGGGGATTTGTGGTCCCATTTGTGCCTTTAAAAAGTTGTACTTCTACAAAGTGTAGATTATCTCCAAGCCTGGCAATAAATTGACTGTCTAAGCAACAATATTTATAATCTTAAGCATCAAAATGACAGAACATATTCATACACTTTGTAACTTCATGAGCTTCCTCTTTTCTTAAGGCAAATATATGTATGTTTGAAGTATTTTTCCTAATCCCAAATGGTAAGAGGAAGCAGAATTCCATATGCATGTTAAAAACATGTCAATGTTTCCCATGTGTTTCCCATAATGGAAACAGTTGCATTTTATATGAAAGTTGCTGTTGCTTTTTTCAAACAAATCATAGATATTTTCCACCGATGGCCAGTTCAAGAATCGTTTTGGTGTACGGGGAAGATCCCCTGGTCAGTTACAGCGGCCTACTGGAGTAGCTGTGCACCCTTGTGGCGATATCATTATTGCAGATTACGATAACAAATGGGTTAGCATATTCTCCTCTGATGGAAAATTTAAGGTAGGTTTACAGTCAAAATGTAAAATACAATAAAATTTATTTTCCTTTTTAAAAAGCAATAGTTAATGGCAGGTTGAAGCTGATAAAGGGGTATAAAATGATTATGCTTCCTGAATTGACTGACAAGAGGGCAATGAAGAGTGAAATTACAGCTGTTTACAATACAGTGAATTGAATCTGCCTCCCCCAGTGTTTTCCAAATGTGCTTAGTCTCTCCAGAATTCTAAGCATTGCCATTCAAATACATACATAACAGTGAAGCCAGGATATTTGTGTTCAATATTTAGTCGTCAAATGGCAGATTCATAATTAGTGAGTTGCACATCATGTTAAATAAAAAACACATGCAAACACATTTAAAATATGATAGAATAGAAACATGATCAGAGACCTTTGTGAAATTGAATATTTTGCTTGTATATCAAATTAAAGCTTGATTAAGTGTCTTTGTTGCTGGAGCCTGCCAATAGTGGCACAAAATATTGTAAAATCAGACGAAGTCCACTGCTGAAAATTGGGAGTGTAGCAAAAAGAGTCTTTATAAACACAGGACAACAAAGAATGTAGACCTTTGATATAGTCTAGATTTTTTTATACATTCAATAATAGTCACTATCTCTTAGCCCAACCTACCTCACAGGGGTTGTTGTGGACAAGATAAGAAGAGGAAGGAATATTAGATATGGTTGTACCTTGAATTATTTATAAAAATAATAAAGGCAGGATTTAAAAAATTCCAATAAATGAATAGGCTCTTTATCACTGATACTAATTAAGGAGAAACTGTCCTCCAGTTCTGATATCAATACGAAAGAGCTTTAAAAGTCAACACTGGTTTAGAAATCAATCGAAATCTAAGGAAGATATTATATCTTGCAGAATTTTATACTCTTTATAGGTAGTTTTAGAGAATAATTCCCTATCACATTCTGGACCTGCTGAAGTTTCTAGACTTTTTTCAAAGGTTAAAAAAAGTATGCAAGACTTTTTTCATTTAGACTTGCATAAGTAGAAAAAATAAGTTTCTCAGGTGTGTGTTCCTATGGATGGATACATTTATTGAAATGATAGCTGCAGCAACATTATTATATGCAGCTGAAAAGTTCTGATTTTACTGACAAAAGAGGAATGACTAATGATGATGGAATTTATTGCATTGGCCCAATTAATTAGACATGAGACTGCTAAGTTTACTGATACTTAGAAAAATCCTTTATTGACTTTTTGCAGGAAACAGGGAAAAAAAGATGTTATGATGTATAATTTTGAAAATTAGAATAAAAATAGTAGATTATACAGAAAATCTACAAATAAAATAAAATAAAATTAATCTCTTTCTTTGCTTGCCTAGGCAAAAATTGGATCAGGAAAACTTATGGGGCCAAAAGGTGTTTCTGTGGATCGTAATGGACATATTATTGTAGTGGACAACAAAGCATGCTGTGTATTTATCTTCCAGCCAAATGGGAAAATAGTAACCCGATTTGGAAGCCGAGGCAATGGAGATAAGCAGTTTGCAGGTAGCAATTGTTGGTTGCTGTTTTAATATACTGTTTTATGTTCTTCATGTGGTTCAATAGTGTTGAAACTTAGAGAGAACAAAACCAAAAGATTCATTCATTACATTCTTAAAAATGTGGAACAATAAAGGCAGAAAATAAATATAAATAATAACAATAATAAATAAAATAATGTATTTTGTGATGTAATAGGATATGTGTTTTAAATCAGTCTTAAATTATGGTGTGACAGCTTATGTTTTTAGGTTGCTTTGCTTACCAGGCTAAGGTTGATAAAATTTTCAACCCTGTAAAAATATTTCCAAAACAAAAGCAGGTTGGAATGGAGATTGTGGCCCTGCTTATTGAAGATCTTTCTATATTTCTTTAAACAACACCATATAAGTAACTTCCCACCAACCATATTAATCCATTCAGATTACAGCAGTGTTGAATGAATGCATTTCTTTGGTCTTGAGTAGAAAGGAGTAGTTGGAAACTAGCCAGACCCACCCTTCCATGGCCAAGGCTTTTCTCAGTGCTTTTCACTATGTCACTACTAATCATCATCAGTGGACCTTCTAATTGGGACTTAAATAAATGATTGGAACCTTCAGATTTCCAAGGAAGTCTGTTTTGTTAAATTCTCCAAAAGGAGATATGACATTCCACTTGAATTATTAAAACTTGTTTCTGGGCTATAGTTTATGTTAGTGTTTGGGGATAAACCCCCTAGCTGAGTGCACAGCAGCAGTCAAGCCAGGCAGCCAAATGAGAGAGAGGCTGGGCCCAGGAGTATACACACACTTGAGACAAATACACTGTTTGTGGTTTAAATAGGTATTTAATTCATACAGAGATTAAGAATAGTCATTCAGTCCATATGTCAGTATCCAGTTTATCAATCCAGTTATCAAGTCTTTTAAACAGTAAATACAATGTCTTTATCTGCTTGTAATCTTCTTGTTCTGATACCTTCCTCTCAAGGACAACACTGAATTCTCAGCTCACCAGTAAACAGTCCTTGTGTTCAGTTGAATTTGGTATCTGGCACAGTAGCCTCCAAAGTAAGC